TACACACTAAAATCACCGACACCCACAACTATCTACACTTTAAGTCTTCCCACCCTCAACACTTCAAAGGGAACCTTCCCTATTCACAAGCACTTAGAAGAATATGTTACAACAATGAAGAATTAAATAAACACATTGAAAATCTGGAGCATCAATTCACAACACGTGGCTATAAATAACACCTAATCAGGGAACAAATAAATAAAGCAATTTCCACACCTAGAGAAGACACCCTACTGTACAAGATTATATATATTTCAGGATCATTTTCCAACTTATTCAAGATGATCTTCGCCCTCTCTAATCTTCTAACTTTCTGTCCTGGAGTAACAAGGTGCCTCACGGGTTTCACGTACGGTTTCATTACCAATTTTTTTTAATGGTATTTGAATTGTGTTAGCTGAAACTCTTCTCTCACGTGCCAATTGATCTTTTCTAATTAATGTCTTTAACTCTAGGTTTTCCTCTCTACTGCTCGCTCTTTTTCAAACTTATTCACGAATTTACTTGATTCTTCTTGCATGGACTTTGGAGATGGACGACTGAGTATGAATGGTACCAGTCCTGAATTATGTTTTTCCTCTCACCATTGCTCAGTTGGGAAGACAGTGGGTCTGACACAAAACAATTTTAACCTGTTCTGTTTTTAGCTGAATAACTCAAAATACGTACGTCTGTACGTCTTGAGGTCCTCGACAAAATTCAGAGACAAATATGCAATGCGATAGGTCTTGATCTGGTATCCAGTCCACAATCACTTCCCACAGACGTGCCGTGGCTTTCCTCTGTCGCTTCTATAAGTATTTTCACGGCAACTGTTCCAACAAGCTACTTTCGCTGGTTCCCAGACAGCATAAATTTAAGCGAGCTACTGGGTTGGCATCTCGGTCCCACCCTTTCACTGTTGAAACGATTAAATATAACCGTCTCTTCTACTCAAACTGCTTCTTCTTCCGCACTTCCTGTCTGTGGAACTCCCTTCCCTTTTCTTGCTGCCCCTTTGAGCATAATCTTCAAATATTCAAGTGTAATGTCGATCGACATCTGATACCTTGATCTTGTTCCCCGTCCGTATCTGTATTCTTTCCTCAAACTCGCCTTTTTACTCTTGTTCTCAATCCTCTGTAACCCCTTTAGTGCTAGTGTCACTCCCGCCTTGCTTGGGGTGAATTGCTTTAATATATATATATATATATATATATATATATATATATATATATAAAAGATAATCCCCTAAGGGCAAGGCAAACCTACCTAGGTTTCGTCTAAATGGATTGTCAGGGCAATGCTGACATCACCCTGACGATCCGTTTAGGTGAAACCTAGGTAGGTTTGCCTGGCTCCTTAGGATTATCTTAGGTTTTGCCCTACTTAGTGTAGTGAGCACTTTACGTAGTTGTCTTTTTAGTCGTTTTAGTTTTTTTTTCTTTGGATTTGGACCTTAAACACTGGACGATTGGTTTCGCCTTGGTTTAATGTTCTTGGTTCTTTCTTTTTTATTATTCCCTATTTTTCCTCGGGTACCGAAATGTTCTACTGCAAGTTGAGCTATCCGACGTTTTTCCAATATATATATATATATATATATATATATATATATATATAAACAACACACACACACACACACATATATATATATATATATATATATATAAGAACTAACTGCTGTATTCGAACCCATGCTTATGATACACGTACTTATATCTTGTTTAAATTATGGATTGACTTCATATCCCTAGGTTTACTGGATGAAAATAAAATTCTTTATATTCTAGACACCTCCTCAGCCCATACTAGAGTCGAAACTGTCTTGTAAAAATGCTATCTATCTATGTGTGTGTGTGTGTGTGTGTGTGTGTGTGTGTGTGTGTGTGTGTGTGTGTGTGTGTGTGTGTGTGTGTGTATTATTTAGCAACAAATTCCTTATGCAGTCTAAAACCTAAGGACTGCTGCACAATATATAGGTAAAGTGTCACTTCTTTCGAAGCCTAAATATTAGATGTGGTAAATTCTGGCAAGCTTCTCAAAACCTTTATCATGGAATTTAATATATCTACTTAATTGACGTTCCTAAATGTTCTACCGATTTAAAGATACGGGACCGTTATATTGAGACAATAATCGTGAAAGATTCTCACCTCGAAGTACTGTCGCAGTTTTGACGAATATTCTAGTTTGACCAGAAGTTCCTGGCTCACTTAGGAAGCAGAAAGAAAACAACATTTCGAACACGGTCCTGCTATCAACGCTAAACTGCATTTAGACCACGTGTACGACAAAAAAAAGGCGTATTCTGTTTTGCTCAATGGAAGCCAGGCTTTGTTTCAGCAAGACAATGCGAAGCCGCACATTGCCAGGTTGAATAAGATGAAGTTCAAACAGATGGACGGTGTTCAGATTCTTCCACATCCACCATTCAGTCCCGACGTTGCTCCTGGTGACTATGATCTATCCCGCTCAATGGCACACTTCCTCCGCGACTTGATGAAGCGAAGGAAGCTTGTTTAGAGTTTTTTTATTCAAAGCCAGCGGATGGGTATCTGGGAGAGATTCCAATGTTGGCCTATAGCTGGTATAAGATCGTCGATAATGAGGGACTTTATTTTGAAGAATAAATGTTGTTGCTCCATAAAATCTTGTTTTCTTTCGCTTCTATTCTAAGAGTTTCTTTTCCCGCACTTCTTACCTGTAGAACTCCCTTCCGATTTTTTGCTTCCCTGCCAACTACAATCTTCAAAGACTTAAATGCAACTTCAATTGGCATCTACTGTTTTCCTGAGCCCTCCTGATTTTTTGTACTTTCTTCGCTTCTTCTCACTGAAGTTCTCTCTCTTATTTTACTCACTGGGACCCCTCCTCTGCGTTTTAGAAGCATAATCACCTAGATCAGCGTGAAATGACCCGCTCTCCAAAGTGTTTCTGGCACTTAATCCAGATATTTGTATATACTACTTGCTGTGATGCCTTTTTGGTGTACCAATTCTCCATTACACTCACCCACTGAATCATGTTAATACCTATAATGGCGGGCCAATCATATCCGCGGATGCCCGTTTAATAGGGCGCTAGCCAACTCCCAGGCATATTTGGCATTGTTCTACACCCACAGAACCAACCTGTGGTTTATTCTGCAAGTATGCCGAGCGGACCTTAGTTACAGTTTCTGGGAGAGAGCGCGTTATCTACAGTCTAAACAAGGCCAGCACACTCAAACCCTCGGTTACGATGACTTATGACTTCGTGCTAGAATAACCACCGTATGATATTTTTTCACTTTCCAAAAGTGCCGCGTGCTGGGCTCGCCTCCCTCAGACCGAAAGCATCAAGAAGTCACCTACTTGAGAAATCGACCATGCTGAAATTCGAACCCGGGTCTTATGGTCAGAAGCGAGCGCATATGCTTATATGGGCACTTGGCCGAAGGGTTAGAATGTTAATACCTATAGCTATACTA